TGACAAATCCACATTCTGAGTCTTGAAGCTCACTAGATCAGCAGCCCCAACCCCCAGTCCATGGCCACGGCATGCCAACAACCGGGCCGCACAAACAAGTGAAGCCCCATCCACAGGATGAAGGCAGCACACGAAACCACACCACTTCCAATCCACGGAAAAACCTCTCTCCACGGAACTGGTCCCTGATGCCCCAAAGTTTGGGGGCTACTGCACTAGATGACTGGTTAGACCAGTGATGGTGAACCTTTTAGATACCAAGTACTCAAAAACCGCCCCGCCCCGGTCGCTCTGCCCCCTGCCGCAGGGCCACCTACCGCCTTCACGGCCCGTCACAGATCGCCCAGGCGGCCCTGCAGCACCATGGTGGCCAAGCCCTCTTACCCGCACCCCGCAGCATCATCTGCACGCGACAGGGTACGTGGGCGGAGTCTTGTCCCTGCTGCCCGTCTGCCATGTCCTTGGCTGCGCTGCTCTGTGCGGGCCATGCCCAGGGACTACTCTCCTCTGGGGGTGGCTTCTGGTGAGGAGGGGGCCGTGGGGGAAGGCGGGGCTGGGGCGACGGTGTGCGTGTCCACACAGAGGGCTCTGAGTGCCGCCTCTGGCACACGTGCCATAGGTTCGCCACCACTGACCTAGCGCCTGCGCAAATGGGGCCACTAGTGCGCATGGAGGTTGCACAGCCCATTTGCACATGCATGCGGGTGCTAGCACCTGTGTGCATACGCAAACAGGCTCACTAATGCCGTGCAGGTTGCAGGGCTGTTTGCTCATGCGCATGGGTGCTAGCAGCAATGGCTAGCGCCTGCGCACCTGCACAAATGGGGCTGCTAGCACCATGCGGATGCACGTGGCCCCATTCACGCGCAGCTCCATTTGCATGCATGCGCGCGCACACACAAATTTCCCAGCTGCTCCCTTTCCCTCAGGGCTGCCAGCATGAAAACATTGACGACCACTGATCTAGAGAGCAAATGGGTGATCTCATGATCTTTCCTTGCCCAGAAAGTTTGTGTTGACCAGAATTGTCCTTCTGGTCACTGATCTCCACCATAGTGCTGCCCTCATTCTTTCAAGGATATCTAGTGCACTACAGATCCTCACCTGGAAGCTAAAGATCCACTTAACAAATGTGGCAAGAAAAGTTGTAAAATGGGGCAAAGCTCATTTCATAAATTTCCCACTTAACAACATAAATTTTGGGTTCAATTGTGATCGTAAGTTGAGGACTACCTGTACTACAGTACTGTAGGTTGACTGGTAAAATACATCAACGCTGACACGTCTGAGCATTTTGGTTATTCCCACTATAGTTAGATTTGCAGAAGCTCTTTTCTCACAGGATCTTTTCCACTGCCATTTGTGAATCTGTCTCTGAGCCCAACTAGAATCAAGAACTACAGAGGCTGCTGCTCCATCTCACAGCTATTTTGGCTGCCTGTTTATTTAAAGGAAGTTGGTGGAGGAGAAATAATAAGGTCCCAGAACTGGCCATGGTCTTCAATTTAGGCAGAAGAGCTTGGCAGGAACCTGAAGGTGCCAATCCCTGGTGCTGCTCAGCATAACAAATATTTGAAACACATCAGAACTGCCTACTTTGCATGATATAAGCAGATGAGATACAAGAAGTCAATGTGCTGAATTCCACATCACAATCACAGCTGGGAAAAGGGAACACATGATACCATATCTCTCCTTTAATTATCTGCTGCGGATAAAGATTTAATGTGTCTCAAAGGTTCTCTCTTTACTTAATTGGTTCAGGAAGGTTACTCATTCAAATTTAGTTCTCATAAACATCTCTATGAGGTAATTAAACAGAGAGAGAGGGAGAGTGATTTCTCTCCAAACCATGCTGGAAGCGTTGGGGTATACAAGTGATTTGAAAGTAAGTATGCAATTTTCAAATTATATAGTCCAACTTGAAATGGAAATGTAACTTCTGAAATATCTTGGTTCAATTGCAATTAAATAACTGTTAAATGTCTCATAAACACTTAATTTTTTTTAAATGACGCATTTAAAAATGATTCAGAGCTTATTTGATTTAATGGACTCTGAATTATGCAAAACATATGTGACATCCTTGTTACATCTGCTTTGGTGACCCAAGCTAGCTCCTTGAGATTGAGCAAGTAAGGATAACATTTTGATTAATAAGGTTAGGGAAAGTTTAACAAAGGGATTGGTAAACTGGTATCCTTGACATTTTATATTGCAACTTCTATCAAGTTTAGGTAGCATGACCAGTGACAACAGATCATGGTAGATGTAGTCCAAATATATGTGGAAAGAAAGCTAATCTACAATATTGCCTCCTTCTCAGGTAATATGTATTGGGTATGAAAATTTAGACAAGGGCAACCTGAGCCATAAAAATCTTCATAGTGATAACCAGCACCTAAATTGGACCCAGAAGCCTATTAGCAGCTCAGCAGAGGTTATTTTACCTTCCACAGGTAAACAGTTGTATTTTGCATCAGATGCAGTTTCAGATAACCTTCAAGGGCAATTTCATGTAACTAAATTCCAGTAGTATAGCCAAGGGGTGATGACAAAGGCATGAATCACTGTTGTCAACATTTCCTGGTCCAGGAAAGGCCAAAGCTATCAAAGACTCTCTTGGCCATAGACTCTACCAGGAATGATGGAGTCCAGAAGAAGGCTCAGTTGTCTATGGGCTTCTTGGAGGGAAGTGCAGGTAATCCTTGACTTACAACCTTTCATTTATTGACCATTTGAAGTTATAACTGGACTGAAAAAAGTGAAACAATCATTTTTCACATTTACGGCTGCTGCAGCATCCCCAGGGTCACATGCTCAAAGTTCGGTTGCTTGGCAACTGGCATATATTTATGACGGTTGCAGTGTTCTGGGGTTATGTAGATCACCTTTTCTGACCTTCTGATAAAGTCAATGGGGAAGCCAGATTCATTTAGCAACCACGTTACTAACTTAACTGCAGTGATATCACTTAACAACTGTGGCAAAAAAGGTCGTAAAATGGGGGGAAACTCAATTAACAACTGTCTTGCTTAGCAACCGAAATTTTGGACTGAATTGTGCTCGTAAGTCGAGGACTACCTGTACAATTTTGTCAAGAACTATGGAGGAAACATCCCGGTCCATGAAGCTTCTGTATACAAGGACTCTGTCTTGCCATGATTTAATCTCACTCTGTTCCAGGACTATAATTTTGATGAATTTAGGTGCATGGGGCCCAGCATCTCCTTGTGTAATTTTAAATGCACTCCTACGCTAAATGTATGCCAATGGGCCTATCTATTCTTTGATAGTGCAGCAATCTGTAAGCACGGTTTATTGTAAACATTTTGTTCAATCCATCAAGCAGGTTTTACTAATCACTACCCCTCCCCCCCCCATGAGAGAAAAGTATCTCTCAGTAGCAATATTCAAGAAATCCCACTATTAGCAGGATCAGAGCTTGACATTGAATTTGCCATTACTGTACAGTTTTCGCCAATACAACTTTTTGTTAACGTGTTCAAGTTAGTTTTTGACTCCTTGCAGCTGCCCTAACTAGTCCATGCAGTTTTCTGGACAAGTTTTTTTAGAAGTGGTTGGCCATCACCTCCTTCCTAGAGCTAAAAGAGAGTGATTGGTTGGAGGTAGTCCAGTTGCCGATGTGCCTAAGGAGGGAACTAGGACTTGGTTTCTAGCCTGGTGCCTTAACCACTAACACCAAACTGGCACCCTACTAATTGCACCTTGTAAAGCTGAAATGGAAAAGTAAGAAGGATAGTACAAAGCAGAAGGCAGATGATGATGATGATGCTTTAGGGATAGGCTGGTTCTAGCCTTCCTCCCAGGTATGCATTTTTTAACCTCACCCTTCCCAAGAAGCCATAGGCACATGGCTATGCTATCTAGAGACAGAATTTATCTATTTTGTACTATTAAATATGGATGCCCATTTGACAGACAAGTTACTCTGGGTGCTAAAATTAAAAGAAATATTATGGGAAAGAAAAGAGAAATGACAGCTGATGATGGATATGCTTCATGTCTTTCCCTCCCTCCCCGAGGACATTAGTGGGTGGGCTGGAAGTAGAATCTACTTCTTCAGGATTCTTTTAACTCCTTCATTTGTCTTTAATCTCTTGGCAGATGGGAGGCAAAGACTGGCCAAATGGGCCTGATCCTTTGCCTAAATCTGAGAAAAGCATGTGGACAAGAGGGTTGAGGGGCCACTGCTGCCCTCACAAGCATATTATTTCTACCTTCGCCTTGAGACCCATTTTCACCAGTGGTTTAAAATGAATATTTTGATATGAAATTGTTTCCTTCACCAGTACCGCTTTCATGATCAGGAAGGAATCCACTTCAGTGTATGCATTACATCTGTATCTACAATTCAGTGTTTCTCAACCTTGACCATTTTAAGGCATGTGGACTTCAACTCCCAGAATTCCACAGCCAGCAATGCTGGCTGTGGAATTCTGGGAGTTGAAGTCCACATGCCTTAAAATGGTCAAGGTTGAGAAACACTGATCTACATACATGAGATGTAATGCTTATTTGCATTCACACCTTTAGGAAACTGGAGCAAAATCATAATCTCGAAATGCCCGACAGAGTCAATATAAATATATCTGCATGCCTTACGACCCGCCCACAAAGCCTGTTTCCTCCGACCGAACCCTTCCCTCTTTTTCCACCAAGCTGCGCCCGAGGCGAGAGCAGCCTGACGCAATCAGCCGCCTCTGTTTCCCTCGAAAGCTCCTTGGCAAGTTGCATCATCTGCTTTTGAGACAGCGGACCAAGGGAAAAACCAATCAGCGGGCGCGCTCTGCTCCTATGTGACAGACCGCTTTGACCAACCCGATCTTGGTAAGCCGTTCTCAAGGCAGGACTATTTGCTTCTGAAAGCGCTGATTGGACCGGAGGCGGCGGGAACCGAGATACCGTGACAACTGGGCGGGGTTTTACCGGCAAGCTGGTATTTAAGCGCTGGAGACCTGGGGAGTAATGCAGTTCCTGGTTTTGCTTTGTGTGTTGGGGTGGTCGGTCGCCCTCTCTGTGCCAGATCCCAGACTAGCTGAGTTGATCCTTCAGCCCATTCCCGGAGATCAGATCCACCAGCGCACCTCCTCCTGCGGAGTCATGAAGGGGGATCCGCATTCTCGGCACCTTTCCAGCGGAACAGAGCATCCGTCCAGGCTACAGAAAGACGAAGAGGAAGAGGAGGACCCCCCTGGTGCAGAAGAAGGGTCGCCCAAGTCCCCACTCTGGGTCTTCGGTTACGGTTCGCTGGTTTGGAGACCTGATTTTGAATTCACTTCCCGCAAAGTGGGCTATATCCGGGGCTACAGCCGCCGCTTCTGGCAAGGGGACACCTTCCACCGGGGTAACGAAAAAACGGTAAGGGGCTGCCCTTCCCACGTGGGACTAAGCGGGCGGAAAAGTGGATGATCCTAAGGGATGATGTGCTGCTCCTGAGATCCCACCGGTATAGCGGAAGGGGATGATTGGGTGGGTGGTGGAACTGGAAAATAAGAGATAAACCAAGAATTTGGTGTTCCAGGGGGTTAGAGGAGGGGAAACTGTAGGTTCAGCTGAGTCCACAGATGTGGAGTCTTATTGATTTCCCTTGGCTTGACATTGTGCAGAATTTGGAGAGCCTCCCAATGCTGAGGTAGTAGGGAGCTGCTGGACTGCACCAATGATGCTTCCTTGAGATGGCAGAACTTGTGCTTCTGATGTTGGTCTGCAAAACAGTACTGCGTATTAAAACTGCCTCTTTTCTCTCCCTTCTCCTAGCCTGGAAGAGTGGTCACCCTTCAGGAAGATTATAATGTAAGTATTTTGTGCCTGCATTCTTAAGCAACTGGCATGCCTATCAAAAGTTCTTTTTGGAGGGGAGGGAAGAGGGCTTAAAACCAAGTAGTTATTTTGACCGACCCACCTTCTTTTGCTGTAGGCAGGGGAAAGGTGGAGAGTGAATTGTATCATTGCAACTAGAGGTTTGGTAGTTCTGTTACTTGACCTGCAGCTGTAATTATCCAATTATCATTTGGATGAGTGATTGTTTGATCAGTGGAATACTGCTTATCTAGGAGTCCAGCCAATGTTTGTGAATATAATTTAAATGATAGAAAAGCTGAGATCTTGACAATTTTGGAAAAAAGGTAGCACTGCTGAAAAGAATTCAGCACGTGGCTAAGATACTGTGGTCATCCTGGCCCTTTTTGCAAAAGTTAATAGTATTAATTGCTGTGTGGATAACTCATTTGGAAGAAATGAGTAGCCATTTCAGAACTCTTTTTTTTTTTCATCACAAACCTGACTTTTAGCCTAACTGATCTGATATTGTTTAGAAATGAGATGAAACATGGCAGGTAACATTTTTTTTAGTTTTTTGCATTTGCTTATTTGTATAGGTTATGTAGATAAGTAATTCTGTTTAATGAAGCAGACATCTAAGTAAATTGTAATTTGATTTCTCATTGCAGGGGTGCACATGGGGTATTGGCTATGAACTTCGCGGGCATCAAATTGCTGCTGTCCTTAAGTATTTGAACATGCGGGAAGCAGTGCTTGGAGGCTATGACACCAAACTGCTGAAGTTTTATCCCCAGGAAGAAGAGGCAGATGAGCCTATTCTAGCCCTTGTTTATATTGCAACACCTCAGAATCCCTCCTATCTGGGGCCAGCATCTGAAGAGGATATTGCAGCTCAAATTATAGTCTCCAGTGGGCGCGCTGGCCACAACATTGAGTACCTTCTGCGGCTGGCGGACTTCATGCGCTACTGTTGCCCTCAAGTAGAGGATGAACATTTGTTCTCGATTGAGGAAGCCCTGATCTCTATCCTGCCCTGTATATATCCTGCTGAGGACCCCTTGGTACAATGAATTTGACAGTATTCACAAAAAATGATTGGATGAACACTTTTTAACCAAGGTCATGACTGAATACGTGATCTAATGCAACTGAAGCCAGGTTTAAAAACCTGTAGATGTATAGACATTGGGAGAGAAAAGTAGTGGAGCAACGGTGATAGAACTACGGTTTAAGTAGCATTGCACTCCAGACTTGGGAGTAGAGATTGGAGAGATCCATTACTATTCTACCAGCTGCCGGCAATACAAAACTGGTTGAAAAATACTTCCCAGTCTCACTTGTACACTCCAGAGATTAAGTCCTACTGAATTTAATAGGGCTTACTTTCAGAGTCCATGCAAGTGGTACTACTGCTTTTTTGCACTTATTCACAGTGTTCTTTGAATTGTTGAAGAGAAAGGGAGATGAAGATAAACTATGTTTTCCTTTGCATGTTTCTGCAGCCCTCTTCATCCAAAGCAGGGCCATGACTATAATACTATGAGCTTTGTTCTACCTCACAGGCTGATGCACATGTGAAGTTGTGAAGGTTCTCAAAGGTTCCTCCAGCCTTGGTTACAATACCCTCATGTTTGCTCATATGCTGGGCTTTTAATAGAAAATGAAATTGATTTTAGACTTTGGTGGGGCCAAACCTCCTTACACAGTTAGTGTACTATTTTTATAACTTGAAAGTGTATTTATTGTAATGAAGATGCATATTTCATGGAGAGAAATGTCCAAATGTCCTGCAGAGCGGGGCAGGTTGCTAGCTTGAAAGTTGGCAGGGGAAATTGGGTCTTCAGGTTTTAGATTTTTTTTTTTCCTCTTAGAGGGGAGCTGCTACAGGGTTACTTGTTTGAGACAGCTTTCGGTAAATAGAACTGTTGCACTACCTACACACAATAGATGCTTTTACACTATAATAATATTTTGTGTCTGCTTGTGTAACTGCAGGGTGTATGTCTCTTGGCACACCATGCTCAAGTTCTGCCTGCATTTTAAATAATGAAGTGGGCATTTAATGTCTGGTTCTCCAAAAATCACAAGAAATCAAGTTTCTGAGAATATTAAATGTGTTCATGGAAAGAAAGATCTGCGCTGAATACTGTAGTCTGAAAGACACGATTCAATAAAGCCAATAATAATTGCTTTCTGATACAGCCTTTGGGAGAGACTTCATTCTGGAATTACTTTGTTAACAGATCTTAGAACAAAATGGAAAACTACTGTTAAAAGGAACTATATCTTTTATCTATAAATAAACTGAGTCTGAAATTACATTGTTTGAAAAAAAAATTCTTTGGTTTTGCATTTGAACAGTATTAAAACTATTTGTCATGGGATTTCATGTAAATGTATAGAAATGGAATTCGTTTAACCACAGCTGTTGCAATTACCTTCATAGTGAAGAACTCATTGTTTATGAAACAATTTCCAAAGCTCTGCATCAGAAGTACCCAAGTCATAGCTTTACAATCCGTTAGATTCTGCAACTTCCTATATTTTTTGTGAAATTATTCTAGTTTTGAAAAGCAGAAGGGTCAAGCTTGCTTCTAGCTGCGTCTATTAGGGCCGGGGTCTCCAACCTTTTTGTTTTGGTGGCCCGGTGGGAGGAGGAGGAGCAGGTGCCTTACCCACACATGCGCAAACATGAATGTGGCCACACGTGCTGCACACATACAAATGCTGCGAGTATGCGCACCATGCAAATGGGGCTGCGAGCATGCACGCAAGGCTTTCAGTGATGGCGATGCCTGTGAGGCTTGTGGTGCCACCTCCTCCAGGCTCACAACGATGCTGCCATCAGCGCAAGGCTCGTGCTGCGGCCTGCAGCGATGCTGCCCCTGGCATGAGGCTCATGCTGTAGCCTGCAACGATGCTACCCCTGACACGATGCTCGGGCTGCCACCCCCATGTGAGGCTCACGCTGTGGCTCACAGCGATGCCACCCCGGCGCGAGGATTGCACTGTGGCCCACAGTGATGATGCCCCTGGCACTGTTTCCACGCGGGGGTCACACCATGGCCCACCTGCCAGTTGTAGGGCTGCTGCCATCCGCGCAATACTAGCAGTACTGCTGCTACCCTCACAACACTTGCGGCAATGGTGGCACGAGGGATGTGTGCGCATGCTCTGCCCCCTGGTAGTGGGCCATGGCCCATAGATTGTGGACCTCTATATTAGGGCTATGCAATGCTCTGGGGATTACCTGAAGGATACTAGTTTAAGTAGCACCTTCTTGCACCTTTAAAGCAGCTGCATCTTTTCCCAAAGTTGTGTAGCTCTTGTTGCAATAGTCTGCACTGCAGTAACATAAATACATCTTGTTTATGCCGACTTTGTGATCTCCAGATGTTTTAGACTGCATCTGAATTTTCCAAATTGAAACCTTGAAAGACTGATCAGAACAACTGATGAAAATACACTCCCTCTACATGCACTATGGCCTTTGGGTAAAGCAGCCACATTTTTGCTACACAATAGTAACACCTAGTGCCTCATTCAATCTTGGAGCTGCAGTTAATCCTCAGAAGTCCTTGGCTGTGCTGCTGCTGGTTGATCACTTGCCCTTTCCAAAGTAGAGACAAAGCTGCCTCCTTTATGTGGCTGAAGTACCATTTGAATTTCCAATTACCATGGCATTCTTAGTGTTAACTGGTGGCCATGCTGGCTAGGGTTGATGGAAGTTGGGGGTTGAACATCGTGGTTGAACTGAGGTTAGGCACATTGCTCAACCTCAATTGAAGTCTTCCAGAAGAAAAGAACAAAGAGGTCACCTAGGGACATCTTACCCAAAGGAGCTGACGCTGGTAGCAAGTGGCATGGAGCCCCTGTAAACAAAATAGAACCATCCAGGACTGTTTTTATTCTATCAAAAAGGCCCTCTCCTTTTAGAGCATTAATAAAGAGTTGGGTTTCTTTGCAGTGGTTTCAGCATTTTGAATGTTGGAGGCAAGGACAGGAGCTGCATTTTGCAGGTTTAGAGTAATGGCCTAGAGAAGTCACGCTCTGAGACCCATATCGCAATAATGAGGTCTGGCTCACCAGCTCATTTGGGTCCCTAAGTGCCCTATGGCAGACCTGGCTTCAACCAGGCTGGCTTATATTAAAAGAAAGGAGGTCACTGGTGTGCAATTTCATACTCTCCCTCCCTCTTTAAGATATTTTAAAACTTTACCCCCACATTATGTTTGTGTCAATTATAATTCAATGGAATGATCACAAGGTTGGGTTCTTTCAGCCTCTGCCCAAAGAAACTTATGTGACCTCCTGATTATTTTGTTTACTTTTTCATACAAAATGTTTCAGATGCAGCCATATTTTTATTTATTTATTTATCATATTTAGAGACTGCCCCTCTCCTTCATAGTTGCATTCTCAACTCGGATGCAGGATTCCAACAAGTGCTCCAGGAGTCAGTCATTTGAGGACAGAGGCCGAGTTCAATCACTTAATTTTATCCTGACAAGGATGCCAAGGAAGGTTTGCAGGAGGACAACAAGGAATTTCCAAGAAACAAGGGTGGGGAGAGGGAAGCGCCTTGCTGTGCATCTTCCTGCTTATGTGAAAAGTGATACGTCTGTTTTCCCAAACTCTAAACGGTGGGCCCACAAAGAGCAACTGAAATCACTGTAGGACAAGTGGTTTCAGTTGCATTTACAGTATTTATAGCGTATAGGCAGAAAACGGGTCTTTAAAAAAGTTTTTGAAAGAGTTAAAAGCATACAATTCACAAGCTCCAGCACTGATATGAACAGCTAGTCAGCCTATTAAGGAATATTTACCATGAAGATGCTGGAACAGAAGAAAAGCTGCCAAATTGGCGAATGAGCAAACACACACACACACACACACACACATACACACACACACCTGAATAACAGAAAAAGAGGTACACACACAACCACAAAATTCTGCCCAATAATAATGCTTATATATGTGTGTGTATAAAGTATATATGTGTATGTAGGGGTATGTATATAGTATGTGTGTATATACCACATATATGCAAACTAAACTTAATAGAATAGAAAGGAATAAAAACTGCAGGGAAAAAGGGAAAAAGAAGAAAAAGTGAGAATATATAGGAAAAGAAATATATAAAGAAGTGACTTCCAACCTTATCACAAGTATAAACAAATTTAATGACTCTTCACTTCCTCTAAGGCAGGGGTCTTCTAACATGGCCCTTTTATGACTTGTGGACTTCAACTCCCAGAATTTCTCAGCCAGGCAGGCTGGCTGACGAATTCTGGGAGTTGAAGTCCATGTCATAAAAGGGCCAAGTTTGAAGACCCCTGCTCTAAGGCTACAAACATTTGTCTGTTCATCCCATATCCCCTCTTTTCTATAAACAAATTCATAAAACATCATCTTCTCAGACCTAGTATGAGCAGAAAGTGCATAGGATTGTCAGAGGAAACAACATGCTTGTTTTAATCTTGATCATATAAGCCAACTTTATATTTCTTCTTTTTACTTCTAACAGTTATCACCGTTCATTCACTATTGTCATAGGATTTGATTTAATCTCTTCTTTGTCCTACTGCAGAGAGTTC